ATCTCTAATAATGAAATATTTTATTATTTACTTATTAATGTTAAACTCATATCAGTTGTACTTAATAATTAATGAATTAGTCTTCATTGACATTTTATATTTTATAACATAAAATGTCTCCTCCGTTGACTATTACATCTCCTCCGTGGACAAGGCAGAATTTAAAATATTTTAAATCTTCTAAAAAATAAAATAGAAAACTTGACCATTATTATAAGGACATATAACAAAAATAAATAAAGGCATTTATGTAATTTTTATCACTTTTTTAATTACTTTAATTTAAGAATTTTTTTTAGTCTATTTATATTTCAGTCTATTTCTATTTCAGTGAGAATGACCCATAACAAGGTTTTTCACATGCTAGAATAATGTTTTATTTAATTTTAAGACAATAAATTCAGTGTGCTAAAATAACCTCACCCAAGGTGGTGACTTTGTGACCAAAAACATTTTTTTAAAAACCATTTCACAAAAAAAAAAATTTTTTTTTAACCTATTTTCCTTACCATTTAGAATAAAGTTTACTTACAACATTAAAAAAGAGTTGTGTCGACACATTCTGCAAAATATTAAGAGCTCTACATTGCAATTTGACTGAGATATCTGAATAAAAAAAACTCAAAAAGTGTGCCAAAGTAATCCCCCCTTATAGTACAAAGTTGCCTATCATTCTCATAGGCTGGTATTTTAACCTAGGAAGACAAGTGCAGTGTTTATAAGGATCACAGCTGATCCTTAAAAAAAGATAACTTTTATTATGCTATTGATCTTGATGTGCCCTTTATTTTGGTATACAAGTTTTACATCTCCATGTATGTCAATGTCTACCAGGTAAGAGAAAATCCTTATCTAACAACAAAAGGGTAGCACTTTGGAAATCTACTCGGGAATGAGATGAAATACATGAATAGTAAGTTTTTAGATTGTTCACCCTTTAGAATAATAAGACAAATTAGTGAGCTAATTCTCAGAAAAAAAAGTCCTTAAAAATTTAAGCACAATTTATGCACTAGTAAATTTTTCACTTGTCAATGACACAGCACTATTAAGCTACCCCCTATATTTTGAGGGCCAGAAATTAAATCCATTAAAAAAAAGATATATTAATTCAGAGGTAGATTTTTTGGCCTGATATTGTAACTTAAAATATTGTCTGCACTAAATAATTAACATATCTGAGGTCCCTTCCTCCATAAACCAATGAGTCTGAGTAAGTTAAAATCTGATCAGTTGATCAAAAGTTATTCATGGTGATTCATTTTTTATTTTGCACACTATACACATGATAAGTTTCAAATAGTAGTTACAGAAATGTCAAAAATTTAGATAATTTATTTGATGATTTATAGCTGGGTTGAAAACATAAAAGACACAATAATGCTATAGAAAAAGTTTATACACTGTGTTTGGAGTATTTATTTTGATTTACTGTTTTGTGCAGGATATTGTGAAACTCACATTGTACTGCTAGTTTGTAATGATTAGCAATGTGAATGACACATGAAGGTAAGAATGTGGTCATCTGAAAGCTGGTGTGAATGGTTATCTTAGAAAAATCGCTTTACTTTGAAAGCATAAAACTTTCCTCTTTTTATAGTATGAAAGGAACCATAAGTAAGGAGGACCAATGTACAGTAGAACTCCAACTATCCGAATAGCTTTCAGAATTCCTACGGAAATATAGTAAAAAGATAAGTTTCTCTTTCTTTTTTTATATGAATAAAATAAAATTTTAGTAAAGCCAAGGAAAGATTTATGCGGAGAAAGTTTACAGGATAGGACAAAGATAAATAAAAGGAATAATAAAGGAGGGGGAATCCAGTGACAAAAGAGCACATGGGAGACCTTATGAATAAGGATGTTAGTTGTGGAATGTTATCTTAGGAATGTTGTTTGTTGACAAAGAAATGTGAACGCTAGACCCCCTTGGTCAGCTTGCTTGTGCCAATTGGCACTTGTCAGTTCACCTAGTGGATTGGGGGGAAGTCAAGGAAGCAATTAAAATTAGACTTTTTGCAGGTGTGAGAGGAAGATTGTTGAGAAAGTCGAAATTCCTGAGGGGTTGAAGGAAAAATCGATTTCGAACGCAAAACACGTGGGTAGTCGGCTTTTTATTGGATGTGGTCCTTCACCAGGTGGACGGTACTGCCTATTCACCACTGTTTGGTTTGAGTCAGTCTGTTCTGTTATTGCGACTGTGTTGGTATACTCGCATGTTATATGTTTTTTAATTTTTTTTTTAAAGTTCACTCCGGCATTTAATATGGCTTCTAAACGAAAACCTGTTGTGTTATCCTTAGCGGATAAGCTAAAAATCATAGAACAGTCAGATAAAGGAGTTACGGGCAAACAGTTGGCTGAGATATATGGTGTTGGACAAGCTACAATTTCGGACATTAAAAAGAGCAAATCTACTCTAATAAATTTTGTGTCAGTTCTTGAAAATGAGGATGGATGTTCTTCGAGAAAATCAATGAAGGCCGCCACAAACAAAGATTTGGAAAGTGCCATTTTTATGTGGTTTTTACAGCAACGTTCTTTAGGGAACCCAATTTCAGGTCCCATTCTTTGTGGAAAAGCTAAGATCTTAGCTGAAAAGCTGGGTTATTTATCTTTCAAAGCAAGTAACGGCTGGCTAAGGAATTTTAAGTCTAGGCACGGTATTCGTGAACTAGATTTAAGTGGTGAAAAGTTATCTGCAGACTCCAAAGCTTCTGAAGAGTTTATTGGAAAATTTAAAGTTATAGCAGCCTCTTACGATTCCGACTTCTTACACAACGCCGATGAGACTGGTCTAATATGGAAAGCTTTACCCAAAACCACTTTAGCTTCTAAAAGAGTGCAGTGCTCCAGGGCATAAAGCTAGTAAAGACCACATTACTGTGCTTAACTGCACGAACTCTACTGGGAGCCATAAAATACCCCTTCTGTTAATAGGGAAGTCAAAACGCCCAAGAGCATTTTAAAATGTCAAAAAACTTCCCCTATTTTACAAAAACCAATGCAAAGCTTGGATGACTGCAGCACTGTTTACAGAGTGGTACGATGAAATTTTCATTCCTGAAGTGAAAAAACGCCAAAAATCTCCTGGAAAAGAAGGAAGTCCCGTGCTTTTGGTTGTTGATAATGCACCAACTCATCCCACAGAAGAATTATTGGAAAGAGGAAATGGCCAATTTAAAACAATCTTTTTGCCACCAAACGTAACAAGCTTGTTACAACCAATGGACCAATCTGTTATTGAAACAATGAAGCGTCTTCACAGAAGTCAACTTTTAAGGAAGCTTTTAGTAGAGGGAAAGGAGGAAGAAGGTGTGTTAGATAACCACAAAAAGATAAATTTGAAAGATTGCGTGCACATGGTTGAGGAAGCTGGGAATTTGGTTAAAGATGTCTCATTAAGACGTGCATGGAACAAGTCAAAAGGCGTATCAACTAAAGAAGAGAAGGAAAAAGAGAAAAGGGAAAAACAAGTTAAAGAAGAAAAAAAGGGAAGAGACAAAAGATGAGGATGCCGTATCTCTTGAGGAATTCAGAAACATAATTTTGAAAATTCCTGGATGTTCAGATGTCAGCGCTGAAGATATAGGAGAGTGGATGACGTTTGATTCATCAGACTGTGGATTTCAAATTTTAAATGATGATGAACTTATTGAAAGTGTGATGGAGGAAAGTGTCGATGAAGATGACCCTAAGGCTGAAATTGAGGAAGACACAGGGCCGTCAGCTAGTGAAGCATTTTCTGGCCTTGAAACTGCATTGAAGTGGATGGAGCACCAACCCGAGTTTGACCATATGCAACTTCTCACTGTCAAACGGATGTGCGACTTAGCTGCCCGAAAACGGATGAAGACAGTTAAACAGCTTACTTTAACTGAGATGTTTAGCATATAATAACTTTCATTTACTGCAAGGTATGTACACATTATTCATAAAAAGATCTCTTTCCTTAAAAACAGTTCTTTTCCCTCATCTCCACTCTACATACAATAATTATTTAAAAGAAACATTTTTTTAAAAAAAAAATTCAATTATCCGAATTTTTGATTATCCGAATGGGGTCCGGTCCCAATTGATTCGGATAATTAGAGTTCTACTATATTGTCAGTTTTATCATGTCCTTTTTTATAAAGGGAAAAACATTAAAAAAAAATTTTTATACTGATTTTCAAAAAAATCATAAATTTGAATTTTACACATTTTTATTTGGTGACCTGAGGTGGTTGCCTAGGTTCACTTAATAGAAAGTTTGGAATTCATTATTGTATATTGTAAAAATGTCTTCTACACTTAAAATACTTTAAAAATGAAAGAACAAAAGCCTTACCAATTTGAAGCAGTTTCAACTATAACCTCTTGAAATGATGCAATAAAGTTAAATTTTGAAGCCTTTTTATTCACACGTTTCAATCTTTGCCATACAGAACTCATTTTGGAACTGAAAAATATAATTCTTTATATCTTATATTCTTTTTTAATTTTTACAAACAAATATTTTTTCACACTACATAAAACATTAAATTCATTTACAACTTGAATTTTAAACAAATTTTTAGAGCAACGCAACAGACCCCCATTTACCAAATTCCATATTTGTCACTATAAATGCCCATATTTATCAATGAATGTTACCTGAGGATAATCTGTAGATATGAGTTAAATTCCTGATTTCACGAAAAACATCACTTTCTGAGATTTTCTTTAATTTGTTAATTAAATAACAGACTCTGACTCCTAACTTGGTTATTCATTTTTATAACATGAATATTTCCTGTAAAACAAAATGGCTGAGAACGATAGTGTGCGCATTGAATTGGGAGAATTAGAATTTTGAAATCTAAACAACTTTCTAGATAACAATATAATGAAATAAATTGAGGTGATTTTTTAAAATTAATTTTACAGAAGAAATATCTTTCAATTTCTCTAAAATTACAAAAATGAAAAAAAGTTTTAACTTATAATTATTAACTATTAAATATCTATATTGATATTTATTTTAATTGGCAAGTGATGTGATTTTTAGCATATTAAAACAAGCAGTATGGATTTTACAGAAGAGAGAATCATACCGAAAGGAAAATTGATTTTGCACAAGTAAAGGAAATCAGGAAACCTAGAAAAGTTAGTATAATTAATAATAAAATAGGACAGTTTCAGAAAAAAATTAGGAATTATCATCGCTACTAATTTAGAACAAAGGAGATGTTTTTAGGAAATAAAAAAATGGACAAATCTGACCTCTCTAGTATATAAATGTATAAAATCGTTCATACGAGCTACCAAAATCCACAGAGAAATTTTGATTCATTAATAACAGAATTAATACAGTTTAGGGAGCTATTATTTTATGTAATTTTACCTTAACTTTTGTGAAAATAAGGTATATTTTTAACTAATTTCAATACGTTATTAATTTTTTTTTGAAGTAGGGTTGCCAAACATATATAAATTTACATCGCAAGTGAAAAATTGTCGTCTAGCCTAGGCAATAACAAAAGAAGCAACCAGTAAGAAGTACCAAGCTAGACCTTTTCCTTTATACAGTATTGCATATATTTTTCACACATTTGAATCACTTGGTTTGGGGTGTAGTGTGGCAGGCCTCCGTGTGGTGCACCCTGGGTAACGCTAAATCTGCTACAGTCTTTGCCAATCTCTTGCTGTCTTGTACTGATTTTGAAGACTATGTGAAGGTTTTTAAAAATGTTTTAAGAAACTGTTCTTTCAAGGGCACGGACAACCCCGGTATTAAGGTTCCTTTCTGGAATGCCAGTGGCCTTGCTATTGACAAGTTTACTAAACTTAAATACATTATTTCTCATGAAAAACCTGATGCAATTGGTATTGCTGAAAGTGGCTCATCTGCTGACAAGCTTGAATTTTTCCCAATGAAGAACTATAAATCATATTCTCTTAGACGCTCTCGCCAAATAGCATCTGGAATCGTTATATTCGTTAAAGACACTCTCATTGCAGAACCACTGATTAAACATACCATGACATCCTCTGACGCTTTGGAAGCAATTGAATCGAGAGTGTGGAAAAACAACATTGGTGCTCATATTTCATTCATTTATAATCCACCTCGAAATAAACCTGATCTAAATTCTCTCATTGTGGATTGGAATAAACACTCCATTACTTTAGGAGATTTTAACGCCCACTCCACCAGATGGGGTTATGACCAAAACTACCCTATTGGCAATTTGGTAGAAAATTTTTTTGATACAAATCAGATTGATTTTATTGAAAACTCAAAGGCCTCACCTACTTTTCTTTCATATGGGGGCAGTTCTTCTCATCCTGACTTATAGCTGTCTCACCCACGATTAACACCTTTGATAAAACACGACCTTATCAAAGCTCCAGGTGGTGCTGGTCATAAGATCCTTTCTGTGATTATCTCAGAGCCAAGACTGACTGAAGAACCCAGAATTACTCGATGGAACTTGAGCAAGGCTAACTGGAAGTATGCAGAATTAACAGATTCACTTTCGGAAAATTGTTCTTTACATGAAAATAATGATACGGTCCTTGATTGGATCATGATCACAATCTTGCAATGTACCAATGCTTGTGTCCCTAGGGGTCACATTAAAAATGCAAAACCTTTCTGGAATGATAAACTTCAGGCGCACAAGGAAGAAAAAGACCATGCAAGAGCTAGGGCAGAATCCACTGGCCACCCAGAGGATTGTATCTCCTTAAGAAAAAGCAAGGCCATTTTAAAGAAAGAGATTTTAAATGCAAAACGCTCTTCTTTTAGCAAGTTTAGATGGACCAAAAGCTTTTAGATTTCTATCTGCTTTAAATGGAAAGCGCACACAACTTTGCAAACAAAATTTGAAGGTTCGCACTAGAACTTTAACCTCAAACCAAGATATTGCCAAAGCTTTTTTGAAACTTTATTGCAAGATAAGTAATTTTTACCTGATGACTAGGATTAAGAGGGGTGAAATAACTCTCTCTAGTGATAACCCAGAATGGAACTGCCTTTTCTCTTCACCTTTCATTGTTAAGGAATTTCAGAGAGGACTCCATTGCTTGAAGAGAGGAAAGAGCGCTTGTCCTGATGGCATCCTCCCTGAATTTATTTTGGAACTACTTGGCGTTAAAGCTAAGCAANGCAAGATAAGTAATTTTTACCTGATGACTAGGATTAAGAGGGGTGAAATAACTCTCTCTATTGATAACCCAGAATGGAACTGCCTTTTCTCTTCACCTTTCATTGTTAAGGAATTTCCGAGAGGACTCCATTGCTTGAAGAGAGGAAAGAGCGCTTGTCCTGATGGCATCCTCCCTGAATTTATTTTGGAACTACTTGGCGTTAAAGCTAAGCAAACAGTCCACAATTTTGTAAACAAAACTTGGGGCGGCACTTTCCCGAGCCTCTGGAGAAAGGCTGATGTTATACCTATTTTGAACTATGGAAAAGACCCGACAGACACCCAAAATTTTCGACCAATTTCCTGGACCTGTATCCTAAGTAAGTTAACTGAAAGAATGGTCGTTGATCGGCTTCAGTTCTTTTCGGATTATAGTGGCCATATCTCTAAGAGACAGGCTGGTTTCAGACGTGGATACAACACAACCGAACAAATCGTCAGACTTTCACAGCATATTAAGGACGGCTTCCAGAGGAAGCAAAGTACACTTGCTGTCTTCGTTGATTTTAAATCGGCGTTTAACATGGTTTGGAGAAAATTGCTTCTTAGGAAGTTGCTTCATAAGAAAGTGCATGGAAATCTTTTTAAGTGGATTAGTGATTTTCGTTTACAAAGATTCGTGAACATTAAATATGGCAACTCTCAATCAGGGTATGGGCACTTCAGACAGGGCCTTCCACAGGGCTCAGTTTTAAGTCCTGTCCTCTTTAATGTTATGGTAAATGACCTTTTGAGATTCATTAAAAATGCTGTTCCAGAGACTGAATCATTGTTGTATGCCGATGACCTTGTTATTTGGTCTACTGGCTCTGATATCTCTATGCTGGAGGAAACACTCAATTAGGTTTTAGAGGCTCTGGCAACCTGGACCCTGAACAACAAATTCAAGGTTAACCTGGAAAAGAAAAATTTTGAACTTTTTACCCTTAGTACTAAAAAGTTTAATGTTAACTTGGTATACAAAAATAGTACTCTGGGTCGGACTGATTGTGCTACCTACTTGGGCATAACTCTTGATACTAGACTGACCTGGACTAAATACATAAATCAAGTGGCAGATAGCCTGACAAATCGTCTTGGTCTATTGAAACGTCTCGCTGGAATAAAGTGGGGTTCATCCCAAAGTGTCCTTGCTTCCACTTTTACTTCTTACATTAAACCAGTATTTGACTATGGTTCAGAAATCTTTGTTACTGCCTCAGACAGTGCATTATCAAAACTCGATTTGGTTCAAAACAAAGCACTAAGACTCATCACTGGTTCTGCGATCTCAACCCCTATTCCTGCCATACAGCTACAGACAGAAATCCAACTCCAAACTTCGCATCTACAGGCCGCCTGTTTTTACGGGCCTTCCAAGATATGCCACTGCCAGATTCGACTTGGTAATGCCTGTACGGAAATCGGACTTCCACCAGACCGAGTTATATCCTATCGCTCTGGCCACTATACATGAGAGATACCCTTGCCAGCAATAGCTGCAGGTTTTTACCGATGGATCCGCCACTCTTTCAACTGGTAGAGCTGGAGCCGGTGCTTACTCCAAATATTTCAGCCTTAGAGAACCTCTTGACACTTGGGCAGATAATTTTGACGGAGAAATGTTTGCAATCCTTATGGCTATTACAGCTATTGGTAAACCATCTGAACAAAACATTGTTATCTTTGTCGATTCTCAGGCTGATATTCAGACCATTTCTGAATATAATTTATACCCCTCTGAACTTGAATTTAAGTGCAAACAACGCATCGACTCTCTTCTTTGTTCTGGAGAGGTATTTACGGAAATGAACGGACTGACATGATGGCTAGAGAGGCTTCAGCATTGCATCCATCTTCTCATCCAGTTCCCCTTAGAAATGCAAGGCAGCTTCTTAAGAGCAAATGCAGGCACAGAACAATATCTGCTCTTAGGGACTTAGCTGATATGGAAAGTCCTGGGCTAGCCTTCTTGATGACCAGCAGCACTCTCACCTTTCCCTCCTTCCCAGAGCCGAGGGAGTTGCTTGCCTTAGAATAATTACTGGACATGACTACATGCAGGCCCATCTATTTAAAATTAACCTGGTCAATTCACCTCTTTGTGTACTCTGTAACATTTCGTCTATGACTGGGGAGCATCTATTTGATTGCCCCTCTCTTCTTGACATTTGTTCCAGTGATGACTTTTGTGCCCTCTCACTTTCTGGAGCTACTTCAGTGTTGTATTGGACTGCAAGATGCCTTATGTCTGAGAAAACGATGGTGGGCGTAATTTAAATATTTTTCACACATAAAATCACTAAGCGAGGAAGGCAAGTTTTTCCGCAGTAGATAAAACCACAGAAAGAAGTTGCCGATTAAGAAACAGATTTCTACTAATTCTAATTTTGAGTGGAAAAAATTCTTTTTAAAAACAAATACAAAATGCTAAAACAATTTCTTTAAATAGTTCATAATAACAATCTTAATCTAGTTTAATTAATAGCAGTTATTCTGCTTAAGCACAATAACATGCCATATAAGTCTACAATTTTTAGATGGAACAAAAACTATTAAACATATAAACAGATGTAGAAACTTAAATTGACCTAGCAAACAAAATTACGATAAGTTCTTTTAGCTCTAAAATCAAATGATTTTGTTACAATATGTGTTTTTCTGATGATAATAATTTTTACAAAGTTTAACCGTGACATAAAAAGTCATAGAAAACATTTGATTTCTGTGACAAATCAATAAATTTTTTGGGAAAACAAAAATAGAATTTCAATTTAGTTGAGTTAGAAAAATGGCAGTTTTAAACTATAAATCAGAAGTGAATTTTAACAGAAGGAAATAAAAAAAAAGGGATATTACTGTATTTGTATCTGTTTGTTTCAATTGAAGCCGTCATGTGTCACTGTACAATTTTTGTACCAACTGTGGGTGCATGGAGGTTCATAAAAACAAGTTTACTCTACTTGGTGAGGTTTTTAAAGTTTCAAGGAAGTCCCTATATAGTTACACCAAAACTTGCTCACTATTTTAGTGCAGGTACAGGCACTGACATCTTCTCCCAATTAATCATTTTATAGGCGATGCAAGGATATTTTAATTCTGGTATTTATAAGACCAAATTGTTAATAAAGGTACCAAGTAGTACTACCTAGTTCTTTCCTAGTTAGTCTCCTTCTATGATATGAATATTTTTTTTGTTGTTTCTTATGTATCATTACTTGACCGAAACTTGGAAATCATTTTAATGCATGTACTCATACAGAAATCTTCCCCATGATTTGAAGGTATTAGGGATATTTCCTTATCATGATCTGTTGCACCAACTAAAATCGCCAAATGGATTTTAAACTTGCAATTTAAAAAAAAAACATGCAGAGGTTTGCCCCAATGTGGATGTAAGTAAGTTGGTCCCCTTCTTTGATGCTTTCTTTTAAGTTTCTCATGGACCCCTGCCCAGAAGTCACCAAAACTTGGTGATTATTTCGATGTGGATAAGAATATGGAAGTATTTCCAAGCTACTTATTTAATCAAAAAAGCTTGAATTAAAAATAATTTCAATTAAATTAATAACTGTAAGAGATTAAACTTTTCACAATAATTTACATTTTAGTTTGTCTATAAATTGCCAGAGAAAAATATGCCGCCCTTATTAGTTTTTCGTTTTATAATTAAGAATTTTAATAAGAAATTTATTTCTCAGAACAAAAGAAAATCTAACCATGTTAAACTTTTTTTTTTACCTAATAACAATAGTTTAATTATATAATAGTGAATTACAGTATTGATGGAGATTGAAATATGTGGTAAAAAGTCTATTTTAATCTCATTTTAAAACGCAGTAAAAAAAAAAACAGTAAATAAACCAAACATGACAATATACACAAACAGGAAAAAATGAAAAGGAAGCGAGTTGTATAGCTAAATTTTTCACAGACAAAATAACTGAATTTACTAAGGTTTTACCTTTTAAATATAAATATTGGACAAAAATTGGACCCCAAGAAAAATATCATTGAAATATCAACCCATGCATACCGTATATCCACCGAAAAAAAAGTTATTAATCATTAAAATTTTTTTTTGACTATCAAACTCTAGATTCCGTTCATTAAGTTAAAGACAGACATAAGTAAAAACCACAGCATATAGTCACGACGGCACAAACATCACATCGCTTTACTGTGTTTGTTTGATAATTATTTTTAATAGTTAAAATAAAAAAAAGTGCTAATATATTAATATAATAAAAGTTTTCGTATCTACCTTAAAAGGATTGGTCACTTTCACATTTATTGATTTGGGTATTTTTTAAAACTTGTTTTGCAAAATCAAAATATGCTTATAACTTACATGGTACAAGATGCTGATAATTATAGAAATCTCCAAAGTGACGTCAGAAAAACATACACGAAGACGGCACTTTTAACCAAGTCGAACAATAAAAACAAAAAAATCGTTTTTACACAAATGAGGTAAAAATAAATAAATAAAATTTAAAAATTCTTCTTATTAAGTTTTTTTCTGTCACTTTTTCTCAATCTGAATGATTTGAGAGGGTAACCTCGAATATGCAAATTAATTAGTTCAACGATATTTTAAGTTGCAAAATTAAACACAAAAAAGTTCTTTCACCGAATAAACATTTCTTTTTTTCGATAGATGCAGATTTCTGATTCTGAAAATATTGGGAGTAGCCGCAACCTGGGAAATATGGTCCCCATAGTTTGGCCAGGAGAGCGGTCTAAAATTTAGACCCCTTAATGTTAATTTAATTTTGTGCGTACTTTGCCATATTTCAAGAAACTTTTAAGTGAATTTAAATACTTTTGCACCCAATTATAAACTCGCTTATTCAAAAGTAATTCCATGCAAAAAATAATTATTGTTTAGTATTTCTTTATTTAATTATAGTTGAAAAAATGTGGAAATGCATTCAGTTATTTAGATCATTTTAAAGAATGCAATTTTCTATTGCACAATGCAAACTTCAAGCGAAATCAGTTGAAGAATTTCTGAGAAATCAATTTTTAAACAAACGAATTTTTTTAATTTATATGAATTAATTCTTACTATTAATTTATTTATTTATTTATATTTATAATTATTAAGTGAATTTTCGAAAATATCTATTTGCAGTTTGCATTTGATTTGAGGCTTATTTCACGGTAAGAGGAGAGCGTCAATTTGAATTATTATTATTCAGCATTCATGAATGGAGTACATGCATCTGAACCATGTGCGATCTTTATTAATTATTGGTGTTAAGATTTAACGCTTGAGTTTGTATTAACTTGAAATAAATTACTCAATAGCGCAACTCAGTTTCTCAGCGCAAAACTAGGGTAGGTACTACACCTCAGCTCTTTTAATGCAGACGTCGACACTTTATGATTTTTTTTATAATTTCTCAATGCGCAATTCATTTGAAACTTATTTCATATTAAAAAGAGAGCGCCAATTTCTATTAAAATACCAATGTATAAATATAAATCAAGCAATATATTTAGAAAGATTTTTAAAAAAATTAGTCCCAAACATGTTATGTTCGGAGTATATGTATGGCTAATGTAGGGGTAAACACTTTGCTAATTATTTATTGGTTTTTGAAATGAATATTTGATGTTAAACTTGTTTGAAAAAGTGAGCGTCAATTTGTAAGAAAATACCCATATATATCATGAAATATTAATTCACATTTAGTCCAACGCAACTTTCAGTGTATGTATGTCAATAACATATAAACTCCTGTTTGTGAAAATTGCAACACCATGAAGGAATCTTCATAATTGAATGAAATTTAATACACAGTTGAGTGTTAGTGGTACAAATAAATGATTAAACTTTCAAAGCAAACAAACAATAACAAGAGATCGAAATCAGTATTTTGTGTAGCCATCACGCTCCGCAATAAGTGCTGCCACGCGACGTGGAATGGAGTCAAGCAAACTTTGAATGTGTGTCTGAGGAAGAGAATTCCATACTGTTTGAATGCGTACCCAAAGTTCGTCTGCAGAAGCAACAGGACAAGGATTACGAGCGAGACGCCGATCAACGAAATCCCACACATGTTCAATCAGCGACAAATCCGGGGAATACGCCGGCCAAGGAAGAAGTTGTACCTGTCGCGATGCAAGCAAGGATTGGACAGACCAACAATATGAGGGTGGGCATTGTCTTGTTGAAATACAGCACCTGGCAAGGCTTGAAGGAAGGGAGCAGCTTGGGGCTGTAGAACTTCACTAATGTACCGGTTGCTGTTCAGATTACCCACAATTTGTAACGATTGAGATCGTCCATGATATGCTATAGCACCCCAGACCATAACTCCGGGTGTTCGTTCACTGTGGCGTTCGATAACGCACTCCGGAAGATGGCTTTCACCGGCATAGCGTCTGACACGAATGCGGCCATCATGGTACCTCAAATTGAAGCGAGATTCGTCAGAAAACACGACACGCTGCCAATCAGCACGCCAGTCCCTATACTGGTTGGCCTATTGCAGCCGCAGGCTGCGAAATTTCAGCGTGAGGGGGATCCTGTATAAAGGAGTCCTTGAGCGCAGTCCATGCTGCAGCAGACGTCTACGAATTGATGAAGCACAGAATGAAACACCTGTAGCTATTGACCACCGTGCTGCCAGTTGTCTAGAAGGAGCCGCACGGTCCGTTAGCGCAACGCCGAACAGGTGTCACGTGACATTTCTTGATCCACTCCTGGATTCCCGAGTTGTCCGACATTCGTCCATCCGCTGCTTTCAAACACGCATCACTCTGCTGCTGTTACGCTGCACACGAGCGGCTACTGCACGATAAGATAATCCAGCTACACGAAGGCCGATGATTCTCCCCCGTTTAAACTACGTAAGTTGTTGAAATCTCGCTCTCTTTCGTCGAATAGGCATAAGTAATGTTTTAACGTTTACCACTAGCAGATAACCACCGATAACCATACTCGCTTGGCTACAGACGTCTGTTTATTCGGATTCATCCGCCGTACAGAGGGCGCTGAGTCAGCATGCGCATGCGCTACGGATCTGAAATTCTAATAATTTGCATATCATGCTCTACTTTGCATTTCCTGAAAATTTCAGCTCACTCTCGTAAGTCCTTCATGGTGTTGCAATTTTCACAAACATGAGTTTATCTCTTCTCGATTTTTTTTCTTTTAATGTTTTGCAATTCAGAATTCATTAGATGCTAGTTTTATATTAAAAAGCGAACATCAGTTAGTTTGAAAATACACATACAAAAAAGTTATAGAATTTTTTTTAAAAAAGGGCTTATTTTCCTATACACATTACGTTAAGAGTATGTATATTTCTGTCTTAAGGGTTGATTCTTCATGATTTTTTTAAAAATATTTTGCAATGCAGAATTCATTTGACACGTATGTTTTATATAGGTATAAAAAAAGTGAGTGTCAGTTTGTTTAAAAATACCCGCGTATGTCCGAAATATCGATTTAAAAAAGAAATTGTTTAGTTCAAAACATTTTAGGTTCACTCCATATATCGCTTACATATGGGTAGACAAGAATTTTTTCTAATTATTTTGCAAAGCGGAATTAATTTAAAACTCATTTTACGTTAAAGAGGGAGTGTCAATTAGATATAAAATTTCGATATACATAAAAAATATTCTTCGGAGTTTTTTTAAAAAATTTATTTAGCTCAAAACACGCTAAGTTTAGAGTACGTTTATCGCTAATATAAGGATGGATACTTTGCGAAGATTATAATTAATACTTTCAAAAATTTCACATTATTCGATTCAGACATGTGTGAGTATTTTCAGGAAATATGGTACTCATATTTTTATGTGAAACCAGCGACACTTTAATAACGTAGCGAAAAAAAAATGTTGAAAAATTGACTAATAAGAGTTTTTATGCTAGATCTATAAATGAGTGGTTTTCAAACTTTTCGTGCCAAGGAAAAGGAATTCTTTAAGTTAAAAACATTTTCTACGGAACCAAACCCCATTGTCATGCAATACTTGTTTTTTAAATTTATTAATGCAAATATTAATTATAAATGTTATTATTTTAATTTATTTTTATCTTAAATTATCTTGGACCTACGTGTTTTGCAAACCTTATTTTTGAAACTAATTAAAGTAACAATTAGAAACAAATTTAGTGTCTCGAGTCATTTTATCTTTAATAATCTTGAACCTACACGTTCTGCAAACATTATTTTTTCAATTAATCAAAGCAAATTTTAACCATAAACGTTAGTATCTTGAGTCATTGTACCTTCATTGCTTATTTTACCTTCATTGATCATTTTTCGTCTATGTGGTTTGCAAACCTTATTTTTTAAGTTTATTAAATTTAAATAAACATTTTAGCTGCTTAAGTCAGTTTATCTTTAATGATCTTGGATCTATGCATTTCGCAGACTTCATTCTTAAAATAGAACATGAATAAACATGGAAAGATAATGATGCAAAAACCTGACCTTTTATCTGGATGAATCACTAGAAACTTCGAATTATATTTGGAATAACCTTTTATCTGGATGAAACACTAGAAACTTCGAATTATATTTGGAATAAGAAATACCTTATTTAGATACAAAATTTATCTTAAATATTGCAAAGCGAAATTTTAGAAATTAAAGAAGATATTTGAAACTTATTCGAAAGTCATAACTAAAGTATAAGGCATGTAATTGTTTCATTTTTTAAAAATAGCTTAACCCTCTTATCTAAACTTGAATATCAAGAGCAGCCTTGCATCTTGCTTCCAATTTATTTATTTTTGATTATTTCGTTTAATTGTATGCATAAGAAGAAAATCCTGCTTCACAAAGATGGGTCTAAACAAACGGCAGCAAAATGTTTATAGCTTTTTACGCTTTCAGGACATGTGCCTTTATTTTTACCAAAAATCAATTAATGGCATGCTTTCAAACTTTGTTTTAAAACTGCAATTGCATTTAATTATAATCAAATACAGACAGCTTATTTGGCTTAATTTTAATGTTGTAAAAGCATTGCACTCCTATTGCATCATCCTCTGGAAAATATTCTAATAATGATTTTCTTTTCTTTTTTTTATTTACTGTAGCAAATGTTTTATAATATTGTCTTGGACATAATTTTCTATTTCTTTATGTTTCTTCTGTGAAAATTCAAAAAGGAGGAGAAGACATTCAATTAAAAAGTTCAAAAGAAAATTTCAATTTCGGCAATAGTAGAAGATATATTAATTTCTTTTTTCAGTTATAACACTGTTACGCCGTTCATTTTTGAAAC